GTATGCAATGATACTAGAGTTGAGCGAACCCGGACTGTAAAGTTCGGGTTCGTACCGAAAATTATGTTTTTTGGACCCCGGATGCGAACACAGACATATCACTGTATGTTCAGGTTGGAGTTCAGTTTTCGGGCGATTTAATGGCGCGTTTTGAAAGGCTGCAGGGAAGCCAATCAACAAGCATTTGACTCATGTGCCCTTAGAAGCCATCACAGCCATGCCTACTAATGGCATGGCTGTGATTTGCCAGTGCAGCATGTAACCCAGGCTCTATATATTAACTGGATTGCGAAGCTTCGCACACACATGAGCTCTTATTAGTGTAGGGAGAGGATGCTGCCGCTTTCAGGGACAGATTAGGAAAGAATTCTGCAAACTAGTGCATTAGTGGGGTGCACTTTATATCTGAGAGTCAAATAGAAGCGTCAAATACTGCGGTTACAGCGCACTTGTAAAAATTCTAAATGTTTTGGTGCTAAACTGCTAAATAGTAAATTTGGGGCGTGCGCTTCATATCTGAGAGTCAATTAGAAGCGTCAAATAGTGCGGTTATAGCGCAATTGTAAACATTCTTATTTTCTGGGTTCTAATCTGCTAAATAGTAAATTTGAGGTGTGCTCTTCATATCTGAGAGTCAAATAGAAGCGTCAAATACTGCTGTCACATTGCAGTTGTAAAAATTCTAATTGTTTTGGTGCTAATCTGCTAAATAGTAAATTTGGAGCGTGCGCTTCATATCTGAGAGTCAAATAGAAGCGTCAAATAGTGCGGTTACAGCGCAATTGTAAACATTCTTATTTTCTGGGTGCTAATCTGCTAAATAGTAAATTTGGGCCCTGCACTTCATATCTGAGAGCCAAATAGAGGTGTCAAATACTGCGGTTACAGCGCACTTGTAAAAATTCTAATTGTTTTGGTGCTAGTCTGCTGAATAGTAAATTTGGAGCGTGCGCTTCATATCTGAGAGTCAAATAGAAGTGTCAAATAGTGCAGTTACAGCGCAATTGTAAACATTCTTATTTTCTGGGTGCTAAACTGCTAAATAGTAAATTTGGGCCCTGCACTTCATATCTGAGAGTCAAATAGAACCGTCAAATACTGTGGTTACATCTCACTTTCAAAAATTGTAATCTTTTTGGTGCTAAATAGTACATTTGTGGCCTGCGGTGCATTTCTTGCAGTCCAATAAACTAAAAAAAAAAAAATTGTTGACTATTGGCGGTTACATTGTCGCCTAACATAAAACATCTGTTAGTTTGGTGGGTGAACGCAAAGAATGAGGAAAGCGCCAAATAAAGGACTTGGCCCTGGTCGTGGTGCTGCTGGTGTTGGTGGAGCTCCTGTTGCAAGGAGAGGACATGGTCGATCTGTGCCAGCTACACGCACAAATGAAACTCCTTCCTTATGTGCGAGTATGCGACAGAACCTTCAGCGTTATTTGGTAGGCCCGAATGCCGCTCTACGAATGGTGAGGCCAGAACAAGTACAGGCGATTGTAGATTGGATGGCTGACAGTGCCTCCAGTTCCTGCACATTGTCTCAGAGTTGGCACTTGCAGCCCATGGCCATCTTTCTTTCACCTCAAATCAAATCAGCCAAGCAGTCTGAGCCACAAGTCATGCAGCAGTCTCTTATGCTTTTTGATGACTCTGCTGGCGGGGTTTCTGTGGGCCATCCACCTAGCCCTGCCCCAGAAGTGGAAGAGATTGAGTGCACTGATGCACAACCACTTATGTGTCAGGATGTGGACATGCAAGGACCACCGCAGCACGTCTCTGATGATGACGAAGCACAGGTGCCAACTGCTGTGGATTTCGGCAGTGTGCAGACCCGGGCTAAACCACAGATACGTGGACCAGTAAGCATGGGCAGGGATGCTATATCTCCCTAACTGCACACTGGGCAAATGTAGTGGCGGCTGGGCCTGAGGCAGATAGCAGTTTGGCGCATGTCCTTCCGCCACCGAGGATTGCAGGGCATTTCTCTTTGCCTCATGTTGCCTCCTTCTCCTACTCCGCTTCCTCCTCCTCTACCACCACCTCATCTAGGCAGCGTAACACCTTCACCACCAACTTCAGCACAGCCAGGGGGAAATGACAGCAGGCTGTTTTAAAACTCATATGTTTTGGGGGAAAACCCCACACCGCACAAGAGCCGTGGACGGGCATGGAACAACAGAACGATGAGTGGTTGTTGCCAGTGAGCCTGAAGCCCGGCGAAATCTCGTAGCAGCTCTGGGCCTAGCCAGTTTGCCGCACATCCCTTGCCTAGTGCATGTGCTGAATTTGGTGGTGCAGAAATTCCTGAAAAACTACCCAGATATATCAGAGCTGCTGCAGAAAGTGCGGGCTGTCTGTGCGCACTTTTGGCGTTCTCACCCTGCTGCTCGCCTCTCTGGGCTGCAGCGTAACTTCGGCATTCCCGCTCACCGCCTCATATGCGACGTGCCCACAAGGTGGAACTCCACCTTGCACATGCTGGAGAGACTGTGCAAGCAGCAGCAGGCGATAGTGGAGTTTCAGATGCAGCATGCACGGGTCAGTCGCTCTGCGGAACAGCACCACTTCACCACCAATGAGTGGGCCTCCAATGCGAGACCTGTGTACCATTTTGCACTGTTTCGAGTACTCCAACATGGCCAGTGCCGATGACGCCATTCTCAGCCTTACTATCCCACTTCTATGTCTCCTTGAAAAAACGCTTCGGGCGATGATGGAAGAGGATGTGGCACAGGAGGAAGAGGAGGAGGAAGATGGGTCATTTCCATAGTTATCAGGCCAGTCATTCACAAGTGGCTTGTCGGGTGAGTTCCTGCACCAGCATAGGCCAGGTACACAATTGTCCAGCCAGGGCAAAGTTCTGGAGCATGAGGAGGAGAAACCATGTTCACAGCAGGGTGGCACCCAATGCAGCTCGTGGACATCACTGGAGCATGGCTGGGGGGGGATATGGTGGACACAGACGATACACCTCCCACAGAGGACAGCTTGTCCTTGCCTCTGAGCAACCTGGCACACATGCGCGACAACATGCTGCAGTGCCTGCACAATGACTGCTGAGTTGCCCACATTCTACCTTGTGCTGATTACTGGGTGGCCACCCTGCTGGATCCCCGTTACAAGGACAACGTGCCGTCCTTAATTCCCTCACTATAGCGTGATCGGAAGATGCGCGACTACAAGCGCATGCTGGAAGACGCGCTGCTGAGGGCATTCCCAACTGACACCAGGTGCTCAGTGGAAGCACAAGTCGAAGGAAGAGGAGGAGGAAGAGGTTGCCAACGCAGCTGGGGCACTGCCAGCACCTCAGAAGGCCGAAATGTGGAAAAGCTTTGTCAGCACACCACAACAACCAGCACCACCATCTGATATGGAACGTCTTAGCAGGAGGCAGCATTTCAGCAACATGGTGGAACAGTACGTGTGCATACGCCTACACGTACTGACTGATGGGTCTGGCCCATTCAACTTCTGGGTCTCCAAACTGGGCACATGACCTGAGCTTACCCTTTATGCCTTGGAGGTACTGGCCTGTCCTGCAGCCAGTGTATTGACTGAACGTGTGTTTAGCACGGCACGGGGCGTTATCACAGACAAGCGCAGCCACCTGTCCACAGCCAACGTGGACAAGTTCAAGTTTATTAAAATTACCAGGCATGGATCCCACCAGACTTGTCTGTACCTTGTGCAGAATAGACATTTATACCAACCTCACCCAGCCATTGTTATACTCACAGTGCACTTATTCTTTGTTTTCTTTTTTTATATGTCTCAATATTTTGGGGGCTACCCCAATAAAAAAAAAAACAAAAACAAAAAAAAAACAGTGTTAGCTACCTCCTCCTTCTCCTCCACTGCTGCTTCCACCTACACCGCCATGGTGTATACCCAGATATATCAGAGCTGCTGCAGAAAGTGCGGGCCGTCTGTGCGCTCTTTTGGCGTTCTCACCCTGCTGCTGCTCACCTGTCTTCGCTACAGCATAACTTCGGCCTTCCTGCTCACCGCCTCATGAGACTGAGCGAGCAACAGCAGGCAATAGTGGAGTTTCAGTTTTTTATATGTCCCAACATTTTGGGGGCTACCCCAATTAAAAACAAACAAATAAATAAAAAACAGTGTTGCCTACCTCCTCCTCCACTGCCGCTTCCACCTACTTTGCCACGGTCACCGCCTCCTCAACCTATGGGTCACTTAGTATAAACTATGCATCAGGAGTTGAGCATTTCTCCATGCATCAGGACTGCAAGAAATGCACCGAATGCCGCAAATGTTTCTTTTTTTATATGTCCCAATATTTTGGGGCTACCCCAATTTAAAAAAAAACAAAAAACAAAAATAAAAAACAGTGTTGGCTATCTCCTCCTCCTCCACCGCCGCTTCCACCTACACCGCCACAGTCACTGCCTCCTCAACATATGGGTCACTTCGTATAAACTATGTACACAATAGCTTGGCTTGTGAAGGCCTTTTCTCCATGCATCAGGAGTTGAGCTCAGTTTGAACAATGAAAGAGAATACCCTGCACTCCAACCCTCTCTCAAATGGATAATTCTGGTGATCCTCCTGACAGCCATGCTTTAGATTTTGATTTATGTTCTTCCAAAGCTAAAATCAAAGATTCCATCTAGTGCTATTTTATGGCTCAGCTGTATTTTTAATTTTTAGGTATTTAATGTTATTTTAAGTGATTTCCCTATCCTACTCTTACCCCCATTTTACTTCCTTTTGCAGCCCTGTAGCCCTTTCCAGGACTTTTTTAGAGGCATTTTTGTGCCCAAAAGTTCGAGTCCCCATTGACTTCAATGGGGTTCGGGGTCAAATTCGGGGTCAAGTTCGATCCTGAACCTGGACTTTTTTTCAAAGTTCGACCAGGTGTCTGCTCAACTCTAAATGATACCTTTTTTATTGGACTAACATAATATTTCAAAAACAAGCTTTTGAGAGTTTTCCTCTCTTCCTCAGTTCTGAAGCAATACCAATTGCTTCAGACCTACATTGCTATTGTAAAGTAACATCGGTATTTTCTTTAGGCATGGTTAGCTTATGGTACAGTAGTTCATGTGGTGTAAGTTTTGCTGTTGTCAGATGCTGTATCGAGAAGGTTAGTGGTGCATGTCGTGAGGTGCCCGTTGTGTGACCTGGAGGATAAGTCCTGTCAGATGTGTCGATACGCTGTGTCTGCTGGGTCTCTGCAGGACTGTCCAGTCCTTTGGAGAGAAAGGTTTCTGTATGAGTTGTACTGTGAGGAGCGGTGGATTTTATACTGCGCCTGATTTACCCTGAGGTGCGGAGAGGGGGGGGAGGGTGTTTGCTATGTGAAGTCCAGGCTGGGGCCTGGGTCCGTTTGTCTTGGTGAGGTCGCGTGGTAGTGTAGGCAGGGTGTGAGCCCTCTGACATCCCACTAAACCCCAATTTGGTCCAAAGGAGATCAACCAAAATGAGACAAAAGGTTACCGTAAACTGTAATAGGTTAGAGGAGGATGTAAACTGTTATAGGAGGTTGTCCTGGTTAGAGGCCTGCTGGGGCCCTCGAGAGTTCAAGTTGTGGCCGCTGCATAGGCCTCCATGGTTCTCTGCCAAGGCCTAAATTCCGCAGCATGTACGGGGTCCAGGCCTCGGGAACTTGCAGTTGCCATTCTTCCGAGGGAGTCCTTCGGGAGATCCAGGCCTCTCAGTGCTGCTGCAGCTTCCTGCAGTTCGTGTGTCACGCATGTTGCCTCTCCTTTAGTGACGAGCATTGTGTTGATTGGGCCCCATCGGTACTGAAGTTAATGTGTACGTAGTAGAGTGGCGAATGGTCTCATTGTCCTTCTCCACGCTAGTGTTACTCTAGAGAGGTCTGCATAGAAGGAGAGCTCCATCCCCTCGAAGAGGTAGGTTGTTTGGCCTCTGGTGGCTGTCAGTACAGCGGCTTTGTCTCTACGGCTTAGGAATTGGATCACCAGGTCTCCAGTGGCTGAGGTTGATGCCTTGACTGGTCTTGGTATGCAAAATATACCATTTAGTTGGGTCGCTTTGGCTGTTTTGGGCGTCAGGAGCGCAGCTTGGAGCCATCTAGTGAAGTGTGGCAGTTCTGCTTCTGGTATACTCTCTGCTACTCCAAACTTTTAAGTTGTTCTGGTGCCGCTTGTCTTCTTGGGAGTCGAGCTTGCGGTCCGCAAGGAGATTTTGTTGCTGCAGCTCTTTACTTTGGTCGGCCTGGGTGTTGGAATTGCCCTCCACAATTCCCAGTCGGCTGGACAGACCGCGCAGGTCGTCTCTGATTGTGGCCACCTCTGAAAAAAAATTTTGATGGTGGTCTGCCATTAGCTTACTGTTCGCTTCCATTGTTACCGGCGTGGAGGCCGCTGTGGGTGGTGGGGGCATCTGTCGGGCCGGCGAGGGCCCCTACAGCTCTGGTAAGTACTCCCCCTCCGCTTCGTCCGATGACCCGTCCTCAAAGTCTGAACAGCCGCCATGGAGGGACGCCATTTTTGGGCCTGGGGTGCTCAGGACCTGCTTCCATAGGTCCCCAATGTTCATGCCCGGCTGGGGCTTGTCAGGCTTTTGTTTTTTGGTTTTGCGACCCATGTGGGTCGGGTGAGGTTAGGGTTCCCCCTGATGTTTGTTTGGGGTGGTGTATCCCACCTTAAACGGTTGTTTTTGTCACTTTCGTCCTGGAGCTCTGCGGCCATGCAGCCGTCCGCTTCAGTGGTTAGACTCGGCCCCCCAACTATATAGGATTTTGCACATGTCAGGAGCAGTGTAATTATTCTACTTTGTATGTTATTCTTCATAGTTATAATATGTTCTAATTTATTTTGCATTCATTAGAAATACATAGTTGTTAAATTACTATGTTTTGTTATGACGTACATACACTTAAAGTGGGTTTTACTTTCATGGATTATGTATGTCATTTTTCTATGCATTTCATCAGGCACTTATAATGATATACAACCAATTGTTGGCATACATTCTATACCTTAATTTCAGATATCCCAAGGGTCAACTATCCTCTAGGCTTCTATTGCCTGTTCGTTTATTTGCGCCTGCTTTCCAGCAAGGTACTTAAAATTCAAGTTTCTCTCTCTACAATATGCCTCAACACAGCCACGCTACATCCATAGAAAGTGGTAGTAAGGAACAGGGGTTTGATTCTTGCCTTGCCTCGTTAGGCCATGGCATTACTCGACCAATCCATTATACAATCTTATTCTATGTCCATTGTTCTGTTGTTCTGTGGCTAAGTCACAGATACCTTTTTTTAACTTCCTCCTTTTATTTCCCTCTGCTACTACCACTCGTAAATATTATTGGCATCACCATGGGAATTCCTTCAGGTATATGGTAACAAATTCAAAATTTTCTAGCATGCTTTGGTTTTTGTCACAAAGAATAAACTGTCAGGACTATTATTACGGAAAATCCCACAATACAGTACTTAGGTGGCTTATTTATTTTTATGTTTTTAGGTCTGATAGGGAATCTTTTATTTCAAGAAATCACAAAAATGGTTGGCTAGGTACATTTCACAATTATGTTCATATCTCACCTTTATCAAGCCCCCGTACAGGGTCAGAGTATTGGCTGTTCAGGTTCAGGTGCTGGCCTTAGATAATAATAGCCAACTCCCCAATCTCAACACAGAGATTTTGCCTATCGGTCCAAATCATAGTTATCGGGTTTGTAGGTAGGGCCTCACGTGTCACGGCCACATGTTTTAAATCTTTACTGTCACCGAGAGGCTAACACACCACCACCACGTTAGTGGCTCGAGCCCCATGGCCCAAATCAAATCATAGATAGAGCCCCTCTCCTGCTGCTTGGCAACTAGCAGGGCCTCACCTGTCACAGGGTCGATTTTTGCGCTTTGGCACTAGTTAGAAAGCCAGTTTCACAAAGTTTACTGTCAATCATACCTTGTTGTTTTTGTATTTTGCAGTATGTCACAGGAGACCAACATAGGTGAAGAATAATCCCCTCCTAGCACACCCACTAGGCCTAGTACACCTGTTAGGCATGGTACCCCCACCGAGTTTCAAGAACCCTCCACACCAGGGTCATTGAGATCTCGGCTGAACTGCACCATAGGGGCATCCCCTTCCCAGCCATGGCAAGGAAAGCTGAACTTTTCAAGCTGCTCATAGCTCATCCTGAGGATCCTGGATTGGGTACCAGCTCACAGGGGCACAACTCAAATATACAAGGACGTTTGGACACCATTTTGTCGTCTCTGCAGTCCATAAATGAAATACTGAAAAAATAGGAAAACGCCAGCTTGGCTCAGATAGATCCACCTCCTGTAGGAGCTACACAGGCACTCGCACATCCCAGCATGCAGGGTAGGGCTCCTGATTCACCTTTCACTCCCCCCTCCACCCACGTCATTACCCCAGCACACGTGGTCCAGCTGGCTCTCTCCACAAAGATATTCTAGATGGGAAAGACATAAATCTAGTCTCTCTGTTAATTGGTTCACAGGATGTTGTCGAAAACACAATGTACAATTACGGAGACTTAGCTGTTGTAATGAAAGCTAGAGACCCACGACTAAACAAACATTCCAGAGTTTGTTCTAGCCTTTGGTCTACATAGGGACATTGTATGTTCTGTTTATCCACAGCGCCGTGAAAAATTTGACCTCTACATGCACAAATTGGTGGACTTGGGCCATAAGTATGGGGATTTTATGTTTTATAATTATGACAAGTCTGTGTCATCAAAAGCAGTAGCAGCCCTGGCCAAATCTAACATCTGTATTGACTGGAGCCAGTTGGACACAAAGCTCTTTTGAAGACATTTTGCAGGCTTGGTTCCCCTGTCTTGTGCAGTCTGCTCATCCACCTCCCATACCACCAATGTGTGCCCCTCAGAAGCAGACCCCTCCACATATTCAAATTAACCAGTTGGGTCTAGCAAGTCTGACCAGCGCAGCTTAACACCTTAAGGACCAAACTTCTGGAATAAAAGGGAATCATGACATGTCACACATGTCATGTGTCCTTAAGGGGTTAAAAAGATAAGCTTGTACAACCCATTGTTTTCCTGGCAAAGGCACAAGTCTAACAATTTTAATACAGGAGTGTGTAGTTTCAATGCCTGCAGATTAGCACATTTGTTCTATATGATTTAGGTCACATACTAGATCCATGTGCACTTCAAAATTGAACCCCAGGCAATGACTGAGGTGAAGATAGACAACTTGGCATACTACCTGAAAACTCACCCTTCCCCTCACATGGTGAAATACATAATTCACAGGTTTTCACAAGGTTTTTCACACTGGGCTACTGGAAGTATCCGAATGTCCGAATTGCCCGAAATTTGTCCAAATACATATTCGGCCCGAAATGAATTGCACATGTCTAGTTAGAATGTCCCAATCTCCTATACGCTATGTGACCCGCTAACAGTTGAGATCTTATTGGGAAATAAGTTCAAAAGGGTTTCATGTTAGACTTCTTTTCCTCCCCTCCTTTTTCTTCCTGGTGCACTAATCCGATTGGTATCACCACCAGCAAATACTTGAATAAAAAAAGTTTAATCATTGACCTATTGGCTCCTCATTCATCTACAAACCCAAGTCTAAACTATCGCATACCAACCTCTGAATTCTCTCTACACTACACCACTGTGGATAATGCTATACAGGCAATTCTGAAGGCTGGTAGAGTTGCATGGCTTAGCAAGACCGATATCACCAATGCTTTCAAGTTACTACCTATTCATCCCTCATTATGGCATGTTCACGGTGTTAAGTGGAGAGAGAATTATTATTTCAATTCTAGACTCACTATCGGTGCAAAAAGTAGCCCAAAAATTATTGACACGTTTGCCGAGACTCTTTGCTAGCTTCTCCTAAACATCACTCGGTGTCCCACGGTTATGCACTATCTGGATGATTTTCTAATGGCGGAAGATAGTAGTAGCACTAATCTAAGCTGAAAAAGCACAACAGCACTATTTTCCACTTTCCCTAGACAAAACCACTGAACCCACCACCAGACTTATTTTTCTAGGTATCACGCTGGACTCCAATTCCATGCAGTCAAGTCTCCCTGAGGATAAATTTCTACGCATTCGCAAAGAGTTGGACAAGTTCCTAAAATTAGTAACTTGCACACTGGAATAGGATTTCAATGTTCATTCCTCCAGTGTCCAACCAGTCCCCAGTCTTTTGGACAGATGCAGCCGCTAAAATGAGGTGGGGAAAAAAAGCGTGGAT